TGACGGATGAACCAATCCCAGAAAGAAGATATGAGCCCATGGCGACAAAACCAGTTGGAACTGGTTTCCACACTTTCACCTTAGATGACGTCAAGGTTTCAAAATGGCCTCAAAGGATCCAAGACTTCTATACTTGGATGGTGACCAAAAATTTGGTGGAACGAGAAAAGTATATCATCCTGTCAGAACTAACTTCACGGTTCTCAGGAATTCTCAGAGATTGGTGGAACTCACTTGGAATTCAAGACAAAAATACTTTCCTTACATCCCAGGATTTTGCCTTCAACATTAGGATCCTACATGAAGTTTTCTGTGGAGATCCTGGACAAAGACAGGAGAAAATGCGAAGACAACTCTTCGAGATGAAGTGTGTGTCATTCGACAGAAATGACATTGACAAATATTTTCAAAAAATGGCAAAGATATACTTTGAAATCAGTGGAGACATCAACTTGAAGCAAGCCTTTGTCTCTTCCCTTCCAAAGCTGTTGGCAAGACGAACCATGACCACCATTGAAGAAAAGTTTCAGCCAATAACAGTCCCACAAGTTGGCTACATCAGGCAAGCTATTTTTGTAGCATTGGAAGACATTTGTACAAAGCGCCCAGCCCTAAAACAAAATAATCAACCATAATCCAGCACTTGACAAAGCATGTCACAGATCCGATCTGATCACCGGATTAGGATGTTCCTGCCACACAACTAGGCGACAGAAAGGATTCAGGAGGTTCAGATGGCCAAGAATTCCAGATGGAAAATCAAGGTCCAAGAGACGCACAAAATATTTCAGACGTAGAAGTCCAGGAAATTTTCACAAGAAAAACAGATACTTTATTTGCCACAAGATTGGACATTTCACAAAAAATTGTCCCCAATCAAGAAGATCTATCAAACTCCTTGAAGAGATTGAAGATTACACTGCATACATCTCGGAAAAGAGGAGGACCTTGAATCCATATTCTCTGTGGATGATGAACCTAGTGAAGAAACTTTATTCTCTCCCGATATCAACGAAGATCAAGGCAATGATCACTACCAATTTTCAGACCAGTGATCGAAGCCCGAGAAGAGATCAACGCTCTCGTAGTCGTTCCTCAAGTAGAACTCAAGATCTATTAATCCAAATGGGATAAACCAACTCTACTTATTGCTTTCATCGACACTGGAGCTGCTTCCTCACTCATAAATCCTGTTGTTCTCCCTGAAGATCAATGGGTGCCGCACTTTAAGGATTTTAACACTACATCAAATGGAATCCCGACTACCACCGTCATCACAAAGCACCAGGTCACAATTGAGTTCTTTCCAGGATTGAAGTACAGAACCAAGCTGATAGGGTCTGATGTACCAGGAAAAGATCTTATTGTTGGATTCGACATTTACAGATAACTTACAGATCAACTCCGGATTAAAACTAACGGGATAGCTTTTAAGAATCAGTTCAAACCTTATTCTGAGATTCCAAGGCTATTCCAAATCACCAACGACGAACAAATTGAAGAGATTGAGCAAAATCTCATCGAACATTCATGTGCTGAATCCCACGATGATTTCCTGAAGAAAGGGAAAAGCCCGTTATGGCAAAACGAAGAGTTTTTTATCAAGCTCCCTTTCAAGAAGAATGAAAATATCAATCTAACAAAAGCCAGTCATTCAGGCATGAATCTAGATCATCTTCAGCTTGCAAACAAAGAATGTGAAGAACTCTTGGAATTTGATCTAATAGAGCCATCGGATTCACAATGGGCATGCCAAGCATTTTATGTCAACAAAAGAGCTGAGCAGACAAGAGGAAAACTCAGGTTAGTCATTAACTACCAGCCACTTAACCACTTCCTCCAAGATGATAAATTTCCTATCCCAAATAAACTCACTCTTTTCTCCCACTTAGCCAAGGCCAAATATTTTTCCAAGTTTGATCTTAAATCGGGATTTTGGCAATTGGGAATCCACCCTGAAGAAAGAGCCAAAACGGGATTTTGCATCTCCGATCATCACTTCCAATGGAAAGTTATGTCGTTCAGATTGAAAACTGCACCCTACTTGTTCCAAAAAGCCATGATAAAAATATTCCAGCCCATCCTCCATACATCTTTAGTTTACATTGATGACATCCTGTTATTTAGTGATACATTGGAGGAATATGTCAACTTGCTTCATCAATTTGAGGCATTGGTAACACAGTACGGAATCATGCTTTCAGCAAAAAAGATGGTTCTTGCTAAAAAAGAGATTGATTTTCTCAGAATGCATTTTGTCCAAGGTGCATATAGTCCAGGACCCCATATATGTCAGGAATTACTTAAATTTCCGGATACCAACCTCACAACAAAGTAGATTCAACATTTCTTGGGTGTAATAAATTATATAAGAGATTTCATCCCAAATATCTCTACATACATTTCACCGCTCACAGAAATGCTCAAGAAAAATGCTCCATCATGGGGAGAGAAACAGGATGAAGCAGTCAGAAAAATAAAGGAGATATATAAAAATGTCAAGTCCCTCTACATCCCTTCAGATGGTAAGAAGATACTGCAAACTTATGCCAGCAATGAATATTGGGGTGTCGTTCTATTTGAAGAAAAAGATGGCCAGAGAAAAATATGCGGATATGCCAGCGGAAAATTCAAAGAGTCCGAGCAACATTACCACTCCACCTTCAAGGAAATCCTTGCAGTAAAGAATAGAATCAAGAAATTCAATTTTTTCCTGATTCACAAAGAATTTCTGATAGAAATGGATATGAATGCCTTCCCATAGATGATTCAGCTAAATGCAAAAACTATTCCCAATCCTCAGATTCTCAGGTGGGCTCAATGGTTCTCTCCATACAAGTTTCAAGTCAGGCACCTGAAAGGAAAGGATAATATTCTCGTAGATTTTTTGTCTCGACCGGAGGAATTCTCGAAGAGATTTTCCCCAGCAAAACTGAAGTCAAAGCAAAAGCTAATCAGCCACATCTTCATGCTTTCAAATATTCCAGGAACAAGTTCATTGAAGCCAACAGATCATCCACCGTAGTTGTTCAACCTCATGGATCCCTTTGATCCGTCAATTATTATGGAAAGAAGAACTTATTATGAACTCCAAATTTTTCGGCAACATGGAGGATCCATTCTCAAGCCATATGGGGTCAATCCAGAATATCCGTTCTGCCATATATTCATAGCTCAAGCCAAGGATTTTCCATAAGAACTATTATGGTTTTTCTGGTATCTATGCCATCAATATTATATTTTCATGGAATTTAAATGCAACGTCTTCAAGGATTTTGATAACATTGAACCAGCACTTAAAGTATTTTTACTATGGTTCAAGCCTAGAAGATTTTGGATAAAATGTTTCAACAATTCCTACACAGCTAAGGTATTCATGTTCCTTAGTCCAGTGAAGATTATTAATGGAAAAGTCCATGCTCAAGCAGAGACATCGTTCTGGTAGAAATTTCCCGTGTCCATTTTATCCATGGAGGAAGAATATACCGAGGCATAAAGAATCCTTTTTCAGCAAAATAGGTGCATCCCGAGAGAGATATGACCAAAAGATTGGGCAAGCTGGAATTATACCAGCAATCATCCTCATTGGGAAAGAGTCCGGGAAGCAGCAAAAGAATATCAAACCCCATACGAAGTCATCCAAGAAAAGATTACTCACGACATTTTCAGATTAAGGCTGCGGATTACATCTCTCAATCCAAAAGAGAAAGAGCATTGCGAAGAAGGACCGTCAAGTTCCAGGCATTACGATACAAGATCTTTGAAAAGATGCCTGGAGGACAACCCTAGAATCAATGAAGGATTATTATCTAAATCCCTGCTAATCCCGCCATAATCCTACATTACCTACCAAAAAACCCTCAAAAATCATCTACCCATGCCAAGACAAATTTCCACATTCTTCCATACTACCCGGGCCCCACTTCCACTTGTTTTCACATGCTTCCACATACTTCGTCACATGCAACACCCTACTTTCACATGCCGTCACATGCTCCCTCAGACTTTCACATGCTACACCATGTATATCTCACCTCTTTCACGTATTTTCAGGAGCTTTTTAGTTGTTTTGCCTAAAGTTTTTCACATGCCAAATGGACCCACTTGTAGATAAGTTTGCCATGTAAGATAGGTTTATTTTATAATATAAGTTTGTCTTGTAATAACCTCCTAGTCCTATATAAAGGAGGCCTTGTAGTAGTTGTAAGATCATCTTTTAACCTTTGTAAATCCTTTATGATATATTACATATGAGTGCTTTCTTGATTTCCCTCTTGTTCTTTCTTTCGAATGGATGGAAAGGCCGGTCCATGTATGAAAATAGAGTAAGAATACTCTAAGAAAGTTAGCTTATTGTAGTCCGAAAGTTTTCTGCGTTATAAATAGCTAAAGTTGATTATAGTACAAAAGTTTTCTGAGTTGTGTAGCTTGGCAAGCCGTCCCTAATAGGTTGTTGAAGTCATCCCCTTTGTAGGAAAACTTTTGCGACTATAAACAAATTAACTGTTTGTGTAGCTTGGCAAGCCGTCCTTTATGGTTTAGTTTGCTTTCTTGGAGACTCTTGCTCTGTTCCTCGTACTGACAGACCAATATAAAATATAAAATATTTATTTTTCATGGAAATAGATTATTGAGAAGTTGTGTGCTATCTTTGTGAACAAATTATTTACTAATTAATACTAGTGTATATGTGAATCTATTTTCAAGAACATCGCAAAATCTCCAATTAATTTCGAAAATAATTAATCAATTTCACTGATATATATATATATATATATATATATATATATCATATCTCATGATGTAACTATAAAACCTGACTAATGATTTACTAATGCAATGGCTATATCATCTAACTGAGCAACCTCATCCTCTTAAAGAAGCTCAAAAATGTATTTTAGAGATTATTATCTTAAACCTACCTCAAATACAAGGGTATTTTTGTTAATTATCAAAGAAAGAAGGTATTTTTCTAGTATCTTTTCTAGTATATAAAATGAATATCTGAGCAGTGGCTTCAGGAGAACTTGCTCTCTTTCCTTTCTTAGACCTCTCTAAATTTTCTTTTCTCATTGCAAAGCGCAGAGAGTCTCTGCATCTTCTTCGATTCCTCTTGTCTTGTTTATGAGGTATGTTTTGTTTCTAACTATTATTTTTGGATCTGCTCATTTCCTATGGAACTTCGTTTTTCTTCTCTGTTGCTATCATTTTGGATCTAGGATCTATTATCATTCTCTCTCTCTCTCTCTCTCTCTCTCTCTCTCTCTCTCTGTGTATGTTTTTTCTTTAGAATGTCTCTTCAATCGGTCTATATTCGTTATTTTAATCCGAAACTATGTAGGTATTGTGTTAATTGTTAAGTTTCGCTGCCTTATTTTGTTTTGATTTTTGATGTTAAACTGAAGAAACTTAGGGACATGCTGCTTCTTTGATGTGAAAAGTTTGAGTCGTTTATCTTGATTTGTTACGTCTATGCTTTTATGCTACATATAAATGATGTATGAAGTGCATACTCTTTTTTCTTTTAGTAATTGTTTGTTTCAGCTCTTATGCTGGTCTAAAGCCAAAATTTGATTTTTTTGTGGCGTGCCAACCAAAAAGCAAGCTTGGCCTTGTTTTATTGGTCAGTTTTTGTTTATGTATTTCGTAGTACTGGTGATGGTTTTGTGATGCTTGTATAGTTTAAAATATTGATCATTTGTGTGGTTGTAATAATACTCATTTTTTCGTCTTTCTTTTTTGTTTTGTGGAATTAAAGCTCAAAGGAGAAACCCACTCTCGGGTAAGCCTTGTTCATCCTTCCATAGTACTTAATGTTAGTTTATTCTAGTATTTGTATTGATTATTGTTGTCGTTGCAGTGGTACGCGGATTAAGACCCGCAAACGGAATATTGCAGCGCCTCTGGACCCTGCAGCATTTGCGGATGCAGTGGTCCAGATTTATTTGGAAAATGCTGGTGATTTGGTAATGTTTTTATTCAATTTGTGTTTCCATATTTGTATTGATATCCTATTGTTATTTGCATTCAATCTTTGTTATATGTTTTATGATGCACAGGAACTTGTTGCCAAGAGCATCGAGTCTACAGACCTTAACTTCTCAAGATACGGTGACACCCTTTTTGAGGTAACTCTTTTATATTTCCCCTAAAATTATCATTCTTGAAGCATATTTATTAGACTATTGTTAAGGTGCATATGGATAGGAATTACTGACGGTGGAAAGAAAGTACACTTATTTATTAGCCTTCTAAGATTGAATTATATAGTTTTTAGTTTCTTTATTTAGGTTTATTTTCCTTGCATGACAATTTCTTTTGTTTTCAATGTTAGTGCTATTTTCCAGTGTCCTGATGCCACAGCTTTCATTATTTGAGTTAGATTATAGACTCGTCATGTGCTATTCTTCTATACTGAAAGTTTTATGATATCTCCTTTTTTGATAGATTAGTATTCTAGTGCTGCTTCCATTTGTTTAAATTTTAACAATGACGAGAGTTTTATGATATAATTGGAATAACATGTCAGTATTGTAAAGGCTTGCATTCTTTAATTTAAAAATCAAAAATATTATTTGGATAACATGTCAATTATTGTTCTTTAGTTTCTACTCATTGCTGCGTCATTTATGCTTTCAATTTACTGTGTGGTTCGACATAGGTTATCTTCACAGGGGGACGTACGCAACCTGGAACAATTAAACCTGATGAAGGAGACCGCCACCCTTACTCTGTAATTGAGTGTGAACCTAGACGTGAAGTCATTTTGCCATCTGTAATCTACGTGCAGAAGATATTGAGGAGAAAACCGTTTCTTATAAAGAATCTTGAAAATGTTATGCGGAAAATGTTGCAATGTTTGGAGTTCTTTGAGGAAAATGAGAGGAAGAAGTTGGCAATTTTTACAGCCCTTGCCTTTTCCCAGAAGCTTTCTGGCCTCCCGCCAGAAACGGTTTTCCAGCCATTGCTCAAAGATAACCTTGTTGCCAAAGGGCTAGTCCTCTCATTTATCACAGACTTCTTTAAAGAATATTTGGTTGACAACAGTCTTGATGATTTGATCTCAATCCTTAAGCGGGGTAAAATGGAAGGTGATCTCTTGGAGTTCTTCCCTTCGGCAAAGCGGACACCTGAAGCTGTCTCTGAGCATTTCACGTGAGTAATTTTCCCTTTAACAATAACTTGAGATTCTAGGACGGAGATTGGTAATTAATTTGTCGTCATCATCAGTGTCACCACTGTTAATTGAATATCACTTTATTATGTTTTTTACATTGAAGTACCATTAGGTATGTTATGACTTATTGAGGTTTTTCAAAGTATAGTGATTGTTGTAGTTTTCACTTTGGAGCTATGCTTTAGAAATAATATGCAGGTTGCAATAATTGGAGACCTTTTGATCGTATAACTTTGATGTGGTTTCCTAGGATGGTAATAGTAAGTATTTGTTGTGAAATTAAGATGTTTTTTACATCTTAATTGAATATCACTTTATTATGTTTTCTACATTGAAGTACCATTAGGTATGTTATGACTTATTGAGGTTTTTCAAAGTATAGTGATTGTTGTAGTTTTCACTTTGGAGCTATGCTTTAGAAATAATATGCAGGTTGCAATAACTGGAGACCTTTTGATCGTATAACTTTGATGTGGTTTCCTAGGATGGTAATAGTAAGTATTTGTCGTGAAATTAAGATGTTCTCTTTAATCCTGGCTGACGGAAGAAGTTCATGATGATTTTTTTTGAAGGTTGTTTAATACTTCTCTTCCTATAGATATATATGTGCCCCGTTCTATTATTTATTCTTATGCACACAAAGTTTCTTTTTCTCATTAAAAAGGATGTCATTTTTTTAAGCACATCATAGTCACTGCCCTCTGAACGTTTTTGTTTTCTTCTGGCAGTGGAGCATTTATTTTTCGTAGTCCCTTTGTGCAGTTTGTTTAGCACCATTCAACCAGACAAGGTGTTTGAGAAAGAAAGGACTTCTGACAAATTAAGCCAAATATACACAATATACTATAACTTTCTTGTGGGGTCCACAACAAATCATGCCAACTCCTATATGAGCATCTCATTAAGGACCAAATGGAATGTAATATTAGGGGTTTCCACTTAAAGAAAGGTGACTTTTTGGGACAAAAAAAAGAAAATTGGGGTGTTGGGGGAGTGAATAATAACAGAGCTTGGGCACCTTCTGGTGTTTTGTCTAGGATTTGAGAAGACAAGACTTAAGCTAGGTGATCAACTCTTGTAGTGTGCTTTTTGCTTTCTTTTATTTGGTTGGGTGCTAAGGAGGAAATTCTAGTTGCTATAAGTTGTAATCCTGTTCGTAGTGCCTAAAATGTCAAAGGATTTCATCATGTGCTCTGAGCTGCTTTCTCATTTGATGAAACCAAAGAGAATAAAAAAAGATGTCTCATCAAGGTAATGGGGCCACCGCGCGTTAAGCGTCAACACTTTCTGTCATATTATGTTTGTGAGCTAGTATGCCATTTATCCTGGATGCTTTGTCCTTTCAGTTTCTTGTTCACCAGGTCCTGTGATATCCAGTAATATTTGTTTCACTAAAACATATCTGATATAAATGTTAGCTTGTGAAGCAGCCAACGGTACTGTTGCTGATTTTTATTTGTATATGGATGTAATAATCTTGCAATATAATGGAATTTACAACTGTTTATGCGTAATGGAATACTGTCCTTCATTTCATCTATAAAGAACACTGTTGTTAAGCATCCACTTATTATCGCTAGACCCTCTCTAGACAAATTATTTGTCAACCCAAACCGCTTATCATTGGTACATCTCCCTTGCCTTTGGAGGAACTTGTATTTAGAGGTTCATGTATTCAAACTTTCATAATATAATAGTGAATTTAACAACATTGCTTTTAGAATGGGGATAAGCTAAGATGATCATTGCCTTTAGAATATGGGATATGCTAAGATAGTATAATAGTGAATTTGAGTTTTTTTTTTCCGTTCAAAATCTTAGTATATGTTTGTATATAGGATGCATTTTTGCTACTTCAGATCATTTCTATGACACTACAAGGCACTTGGCCTTGATTTTCCCATCACTGTGGCAGCATAATATCTGAAGTCTAGGAGAGGATGTATGTCTTTCTCATAGTTCTCCTACTCAATTGTCGGATTTTGTAGTACTGTTATACAGCTTATAGTTAGATAAGAAATCTGTAAAATATGATGCAGAAATCCTACTAAAACGTAGTGTACTGGTTATAAACCTTTTTTTTCCCAGCAAGGCTGAGCTTATACCTTTGGTCGAGTACAATGAAAAGAAGATTTTTGAGGTGAACCTCAAGGAAATGAAATCTGCCGTGACGACTCAGATAGCAGAAGAAGCTAATATTTCTGAAGTAATAGAAACTGTCAAGCAACACGTCAAAGATGCTAAACTGCCGGATATAGAAGTTGTGAGAATTCTGTGGGATGTCTTGATGGATGCTGTGCAGTGGTCTGGGAAGAATCAACAGCAAAATGCTAATTCGGCCCTTCGCCAGGTAGTTTACATCTTAAAAGCTGCATATTGTGGTAAATGAACATACATAGTTCTATGAATGATGTATGTTCATTTATAGAAATAACCTATGAATGAACTCATTCTTTACTGGTCGCTTTACCCAGTGTTCCAAGAATAAGAGTATTGTTCTAGGTTTTTTTTTAATTTAAAATGTCAATTAAGAAGTAAGCATGATGACTGTTTGGTTGGGAAGTTAATGTTCTCAATGAAGCATTGCTCAACAAGTATCAGAGTTATAAAGATAGGCAACTGCCGAATTAGCCATGGCTGGCCCTTTAGTCTTCCTTTTTATTTGTGCATGCATTTCTAATTCATTACTCTTGTATTTTCGAGACTTTAGTATTGCCATTAACTTTCCTAAATGAATCCAGAAGATACGACTTGTGGCAGCTTGTCTTGTTTTAATGAAATCCGTCAAATGTGAGGTGACTACCTATTATTGGCAAACATTGACTGATTTGATCAACCGTGGTAGTGTTGCAAGGTTTGATTAATTATTGAACTAAATTTGAAAGCACACAGGAGTTAGATTAGTCTATATTTGCATGCTTTTCTGGCTTCTCTAACACTCAACCTCGGAAGGACTGATCAGATTAATCAGCATAGCTAGCAGTTCTGCTGAGTGGGACAAATTCCCTTGCGCTTGTGACGTCTAGTTACTTCTGTATTTGTATTGTGCTTTGTAGTTACTTCTGTATTTGTATCACATTTCTTCTCGTTCCCACTTTTTTTTCCTTTTTTCTTTTCTCTTTTTTTGCAGGTGAAAACATGGGCGCAACTGTTGAATACATTCTGCACAACAGGAAAGCTTGAATTGGAGCTTATATACAAAGTCCAAGTTCAGTGCTATGAGGATGCTAAACTGATGAAGTTGTTCCCAGAAATTATAAGGTCCCTCTATGACCAAGATGTGCTGGCAGAAGACACCATTCTTCATTGGTTCCGCAAGGGAACTAACCCTAAGGGCAGGTATGCATTTGTTACGTCTGTTTTTATGGGAATGAAGCTGTTATTGAATTAGTTTCCTTCCAAATCTATTTTTTCTTCCTTGAGCAATATTCTATTTTTAATTTATTAAAGGATTGTGATGTGATATCATTTTAAACTATGGCAGGCAAGCTCTTGTCAAGTCGCTGGATCCCTTTGTTAAATGGCTGGAGGAGGCAGAGGAAGAGGATTGATTTCTTCTGATGCTGCGTGTCAGTTGAGATGATCTTTCCAGTTTTTATTTTTATTTTTCTGGAGAACTTATTCCTCCTAAATATTTAAAATAGTGGATTCCAAATTTTCACACGAATTGACATTTGTTTGCTTCATGTTGTTAACTAATTTGTTATGGCTTTACTCATTTGGATCGCAATTTCTTGTGTTTCTTTGCTCTCACACTGCTTCTATCCCCTTTTGTCTCTCCACTCCTGGAGATCCCACTTATCTAATATTCTATAAATATCCTGAAATTGTCGGAGGCCATTTTAATATTTTGAAACCCTTTCAAAAACCATTTTATTAGTTTGAGTTTTGTTTTTAGAAAATTCTTGCAAGAGCATCGGCGGAAAGCGAATATGGATATTTTGCTATGCTTCTTTTGCCTTGAGAAAATGTTTGCAATACTTATTGTCTATTTATTGAATTATTTCATTTTGTCATTGGTCATTTTTAGTTTATCATGCTTTAGATGTATATACAGAGGAGAGTGTAGATGCTGTTCGAAAAAGAGATTGTACTAATTTTATAGCAAGCATCCAGGCGCTGAGATTCTGTTTGCTGTTGTTTTTAAAGTGTTAAGGGGAGAAGGGGGTAAATTTCCAAAGTTGCACTATGAAAAAGGCTGCATTTTCACTATGAACATTTGATAGTATGGGATTATGAGATTGTACTTATAATGAGAAGAAATGGGGAACCATAAGAAGAAACATTGAGGGAAAAAGATAAGGCATCAAACTTGAGAATAAGAAATTATGATTTTTACTACATGACGTTAGATAACCTTTTCTATTTTTTAATTTAATAATACCAACTGTATATTTTCATGCATCTATCAAAAGGAAAGTATAGATTTATGTAAAACATATCCCTTGTGATCCGACCCTTCCTCGGACCATGCGCATAGCAGGAGTTTAGCGCACCAGGCTACCCTTTTTTTATATCCCTAACCCTTAGCCTAGACTATCTTTGATACATAGAGAGATAAAGAAAATACATTTGACAAACCTGTGAAAAGAAAGAGGTATCCAACCTATGCAAATATAACTAGATTTCATGAATCAGGGAGGCTTAATGGTAATATCTGCTTTCCTTCTGTTAGCAATACGAATAGCAGGGATTGAGACTCCACCTGTCCATATTTATGAAACCTCTAACTTGTGATGGCAGTTCAGCAATATTCAGAAGAAAAAAGAACTGAGTTTGAGTGGAATCGTAGTCCATGGAAGCCAACAAGTCTGCAACCTGATTCATTCACTGCAGAATATACACAAAGAAAATGATAACAAAACTAAAAACAAGAAACAAGACTAAAAAATAATCTTGTTAATTATAGCCAATATCAAGTATATAAGCAGCGATTCAAATCCAGAGCTTATAAATGGTACTCTACCAATTTTACGCAAGACAATTTGAAAAGGCAATGGGTTTTTGTGTTTCAGAAATACAGTTAACCAACATGTTAATTAATTAATTATCATTTATTGAATCGGTTTTATTATTTTTTTCTTGCAGCATCTCGTCGTGGCATGAGTGTGAATATCTTATAGTTCAATCATTACAAATCAATCAAATGGTCACGTTAACTGAAATAGCGAGTCAAAAATTTAACCTAGCAAGATTAGTATTTTAGACTAGTTAAAAATTAAGTAGGAAATGAGTTTGTTAACAAAAGAGTATATACGTAGATAAGGAAACAACTTTAAGGTTTTTACATTTTTGATCGGGTAAATAAAGAAACGAAAATATTTAGCCATGCAATCAAAATCAAATTCATGTTTGGCAGGTCTTTAAGTTAAGTTAGGTGTAATTTTGAATTCTGACATCTAATTGTAAAATAATATAGAAAGTTATTTACTAGCTTCCCATATTTCATAATTTTTGTGTTCTTTCTAATTTTGGCATACCATCCTCAGAGCAACTATAAAAGACTCCCACTTTATTCCTTTGTTTTCATTCCACAATTGCATTCTATACTTCCTATTGTACATTTTCTCCATTTTGCGGATAACAAATGGTCCAAAACTACAAAATTTTCCAAAATATTGCCCGTACCTATGACATTCATTAAAATCCAAAATTTTCAACCCCAACAATGCCTTGAGGATTAGGCATGAGATTACCGAAGAAATATTGAATGGAATTGCTTTCTGCGACAGTTAGAGGCGCGCATGTCCCCTCCAGGATTAGGCATAGGGGTTACCTTTAATTGTAGTCATTTTAAGCATATCACAGCTTCTTTAGCCAGCTGGTTCACCACTATATTAGGTGCCATCCGCAATCTTGTCAGTCAAAATTGAAGAATGTCCATGATTTTCTAATCATAACCTCATATGGCTAGAAAATCATGCACTTTTTACAAATTTAGCCGACAAAATTGTGAAGGTATCTAGTGTTGTGGTAAACGAGTTGGTTAAAGAAGCGACAACATGTTTGAGATGGCTCAAATCAAAGATACCCCTATTCCAAATCCTATCGAGGGGAATGCCACTCAATGCGCCTCTAACTGATGATTACACCCTGGCTTTCTATATGTTCGTATCTCTGCACTTTCTTAGTTTGTGCATTTTTAAAGAGAAAAAAAAAAGTTCAGCTACATAGAAGATATATGTTATAGAGGACTAGCTTGAATTATGATAAAGTATTAATGCTTCTGATTATTGTATGTGGCCAAATGGATAAATATTTGTTTTCTCTTTACTTCGTTCTTACCTTTGCACCATGATGTCTCCGCTAATTATGTGAGCATTACACACAAATTATTTTCGGTCCTAAGCTCAAAAAACCAAAAGAAAAGGAAACTACAAATAGTTTCTAATTATGCCAATATTGTAATATACGCGTAGTATGTACTCCTAAAAGCGGGAGGAATTCAAAAATAGCCAGATTTATCACTGGTCGTTGAAAAATAGCCAAGTTTCAAAAGTCATCGAAATTTAGCCACTTTAAATCTGAGCGAAAACACTGTTCAAAATCCGAAAAAATACGCCCGCAAATTTTACGGGAGTTCCAGCATAACTATGCTGGAACTCCCGCAAATTTTACGGGAGTTCAAGCATAATTATGCTGGAACTCCCGCAAATTTTACGGGAGTTCCAGCAAGTATAATTGTCCAGTATAATATACTGGAGTTTGGAGCACTGGTGCTCCAGTCTCCCGCAAATTTTACAGGAGTTAGTAAAGTATACCGGTCCAGCATAATATGCTGGAGTTCGTACACAAATGCACCAGAACTCCCGTATATTATACTGGACCGGTCCTTGTTGCAGCAAAATAGTGGCTATTTTTCATTGACTTGATAAACGCTGGCTATTTTTCATTGACCAGTGTGAAAACTGGCTATACCATGATATTTGCACGTTGGGAGTTATGGGTGCTTACGCACCCATTAACTTTGAACATATTAATAAATTTATATAGGTAACTGTACAAATATTTAGATAAATATTGAGCGAGCACCCACAAGTAAATTCATTTTTCCTCTTCTTTTGAAGTTTTTATCGGCGAGCACCCATAACTTTAAAATCCTGGATCCGCCACTGCCTAAAAGGAGCGGAATTGATATTGAGTATTCATATAACCAACTAATTTGAAATTAAGGGTGTGTTTGGTATAAAGGAAAATATTTTCCATGGAAAATGTTTTCCAAGAAAATATTTTCTTGGAAAACAAGTAGCAATCTTATTTATTTTTTAGTGTTTGGTACGCAAATCAAGGAAAATATTTTCTCAAGAGTATTCATAAATAATTTTGATACAATAAACATGAAGCCATAAACTTTCAAACCAACAACCTTCTGAACCCACAAATTTCATAAACTTCTGAACCGCAAAACTTTCAAAACCGCAAAATTTCGAACCCGTAAACTTTATAATTTCTAAACCCGTAAACTTCGAAACACATAAACTTCCGAACTCATAGGATTGGGGTGGGGCAGCGGGGGGGGAGGGGGGGGGGTAGGAGCGGGAGGTTGGAATAGGGTGGGGAAGTTTGAGAAGGAGTTTTGGAAAATGTTTTCCCTTCTCTTGATAGGGAAAACATTTTCCTCCAATTGGAGGAAAATGAGTTGATAAGGAAAATGTTTTCCAAAACATTTAAACCAACCAAACATAAGAAAATTGAAAAATATTTTTCGAAAAATATTTTCCTTCGTACCAAACACACCCTAAGTAGTAATTGATAGATGACTTTGACCTCTACCTAACGGTGTAATCTACATTTAACCTATTACTTGTCTCGATGGACTTCCTTATTTCCTCATTGGATGAAATTCTCCTTCTTTTTTACAATTAGAAAAATTCGATTACACTGAAATAAAAGTTATTGGAGCCACCAAACAATAAAGAAACAACAAAATATGTCATAGCCCACTTATCATGTGGATGCATCGTTAATTAAGCAAATGGAAACTTTGGTTACACTCTAGCAACAACATTAATTAGCTGGTGGCTTTTAAATGTTAGCAGTCTAATCAAGAAGCTAATAAATCTAAGAAATATAGTATTTTCAATAAATAATTTTTTCGTCGAAAAGTAGTACTTCAAGGAAATGATTTTCCTATGGAATTACATGCAAATTTTCTTATAGGATTTGATAACAATTACTGATAACTAACTAATTGTTGAAATACAGGATCTTTGCTCTTTGGCGCTGAAAGCTAAAAGCCTGTTGTTTATGGATTTCTTTCGTCTTATTGTTCATTCCGTTATCACCTGAGGAGTCAGCGCCAAAGCTGATCTGTGTATTGAAGAATATGTTGTGAAAAATAAAACAATTAATTAAATCTAAACCTAAATAAATTCTATTATGTTTATTGAGGTTCAAAATAATGAAAATACTTAATTTCACGACTATTCCAATGAAAGAATGGGGAATCATTATTCTAGTTTACAAAGTAATGGTCCAGGCTGAACCCCCATCATTTCAAAATAGATTTAATTTTAAAAAAATAAAGGAAAATCAATGTCCAGCATCAAACACCAATACACACTATATATTTCATTCCGTTATAAATAGAATTGTATTTGTGGTGAATGTCTATATTTAGAGAGATTCTAGGGTTCATTGCTTGGTGGCTAAGTCACCATCTCCCTATAAATAGAGGGTTCTATTCTATTGTAATTCATCCAAAATCAATAAGAATTCTCTCTCTACTTTTCTCTGCAATACTCTTCTTCTTC